CATACGCTCTCGCACGCACTCGCACTCACACGCACTCGCACTCACACACACTCGCACTCACACGCGCTCACACTCACACGCACTCACACTCACACGCACTCGCACTCACACGCACTCGCACTCACACGCACTCGCACGCACTCGTACACACTCGCACACGCACTCGCACTCACACGCACTCGCATGCACTCACGCGCACTCGCACTCTCACGTACACGCACTCGCACATACACGCACTCGCACTCGCACTCTCACGCAATCACACTCACACGCACTCACACTCACACGCATTCACACTCACACGCACTCACACTCACTCTCCCTCGCACTCCCACGCACTCACACTCACACGCACTCGCACTCACACGCACTCGCACTCACACGCACTCCCACTCACACACACTCGCACTCACACGCACTCGCACTCACACGCACTCGCACTCACATGCACTCGCACTCACACGCACTCGCACGTACACGCACTCGCACTCACACGCACTCCCACTCACACGCACTCGCACTCACACGCACTCGCACGCGTTCGCACTCACACGTGCTCGCACTCACACGCACTCGCACTCACACGCACTTGCACTCACACACACTCACACTCACACGCACTTGCACTCACACGCACTCGCACGTACACGCACTCGCACGTACACGCACTCGCACTCACACGCAATCACACTTACACGCACTTGCACTCACACGAACTCGCAGTCACGCACACTCGCACTTACACGCACTCGCACCTACACGCACTCGCACGTACACGCACTCGCACTCACACGCACTCGCACTCACACGCACTCGCCCGCACTCGCACTCACACGCACTCGCACTCACACGCACTCGCACGCACTCGCACTCACACGCACTCACACGCACTTCTCTCACACGTGCTCACACTCACACGCTCTCACACTCACACGCACTCGCACTCACAAGCACTGGCACTCACACGCACTCGCACTCACACGCACTCGCACTCACATGCACTCGCACGTACACGCACTCGCAATCACACGCACTCACACTCACACACACTCGCAGTCACACGCACTCGCATGCACTCGCACTCACACGCACTCGCACTCACACGCACTCGCACTCACACTCACTCTCACTCACATGCACTCGCATTCACACGCACTCGCACTCACACGCACTCACACTCGCTCTCACTCGCACTCCCACGCACTCGCACTCACACGCACTCACACTCACATGCGCTCACAATCACACACGCTCTGGCACTCACACGCACTCACAGTCACTCGCACTCGCACTCGCACGCACTTGCACTCGCACTCGCACACACTCGCCCTCACACGCACTTGCACTCACACGCACTCCCAGTCACACGCGCTCGCACTCTCACGCACTCCCACTCACTCACACTCACACTCACATGCACTCGCACTCACACGCACTCACAATCACACGTACTCGCACTCGCACTCGCACTCGCACACACTCGCACTCATACGCACTCGCACTCATTCGCACTCCCACTCACATGCACTCGCACTCTCACGCACTCCCACTCACTCGCACTCACACTCACATGCACTCGCACTCCCACGCACTCGCACTCATACGCACTTGCACTCACACGCACTCGCACTCACACGCACTCCCACGCACACACACTCCCACTCACACGCACTCGCACTCACACGCACTCACACTCGCACTCCCACGCACTCACACGTACTCACACGCACTCACAATCACACGCACTCCCACTCACATGCACTCACACTCACACGCGCTCACACTCACACGCACTCACACTCACACGCACTCCCACTCACGCAGACTGGCACTCGCATGCACTCGCACTCGCAGTCACTCACGCTCGCACGCACTCGCACTCACACGCACTCGCACTCGCACACACTCGCACTCACATGCACTCCCACACGCATTCGCACTCACGCGCACTCGCACTCACTCGCACTCACACGCACTCGCACGTACACGCACTCGCACGTACACGCACTCGCACTCACACGCAATCACACTCACACGCACTCGCACTCACACGCACTCACACGCACTCGCACTCACACGCACTCGGCACTCCCACTCACACGCACTCGCACTCGCACACACTCGCACTCACACGTACTCCCACTCACACGCATTCGCACTCACGCGCACTCGCACTCACACGCACTCACATGCACTCGCACTCACACGCACTCGCACTCACACGCACTCGCACGTACACGCACTCGCTCTTGCACTCGCACTCACACGCAATCACACTCACACGCACTCGCACTCATGCACTCACACTCACACGCACTCGCATGCACTCACGCGCACTCGCACTCTCACATACACGCACTCGCACATACACGCACACGCACTCGCACTCACAAGCACTCGCATGCACTCACGCGCACTCGCACTCTCACGTACACGCACTCGCACATACACGCACTCGCACTCGCACTCTCACGCAATCACACTCACACGCACTCACACTCACACGCATTCACACTCACACGCACTCACACTCACTCTCCCTCGCACTCCCACGCACTCACACTCACACGCACTCGCACTCACACGCACTCGCACTCACACGCACTCGCACTCACACACTCTCGCACTCACACGCATTCGCACTCACACGTACTCGCACTCACATGCACTCGCACTCACACGCACTCGCACGTACACGCACTCGCACTCACACGCACTCCCACTCACACGCACTCGCACTCACACGCACTCGCACGCGTTCGCACTCACACGTGCTCGCACTCACACGCACTCGCACTCACACGCACTTGCACTCACACACACTCGCACTCACTCGCACTTGCACTCACACGCACTGGCACGTACACGCACTCGCACGTACACGCACTCGCACTCTCACGCAATCACACTCACACGCACTCACACTCACACGCATTCACACTCACACGCACTCACACTCACTCTCCCTCGCACTCCCACGCACTCACACTCACACGCACTCGCACTCACACGCACTCGCACTCACACGCACTCCCACTCACACACACTCGCACTCACACGCACTCGCACTCACACGCACTCGCACTCACATGCACTCGCACTCACACGCACTCGCACGTACACGCACTCGCACTCACACACACGCACTCCCACTCACACGCACTCCCACTCACACGCACTCGCACTCACACGCACTCGCACGCGTTCGCACTCACACGTTCTCGCACTCACACGCACTCGCACTCACACGCACTTGCACTCACACACACTCGCACTCACACGCACTTGCACTCACGCGCACTCGCACGTACACGCACTCGCACGTACACGCACTCGCACTCACACGCACTCGCACTCACACGCACTCGCCCGCACTCGCACTCACACGCACTCGCACTCACACGCACTCGCACTCACACGCACTCGCACGCACTCGCACTCACAAGCACTCACACGCACTTCTCTCACACGTGCTCACACTCACACGCACTCACACTCACACGCACTCGCACTCACACGCACTGGCACTCACACGCACTCGCACTCACACGCACTCGCACTCACATGCACTCGCACGTACACGCACTCGCAATCACACGCACTCACACTCACACACACTCGCACTCACACGCACTCGCATGCACTCGCACTCACACGCACTCGCACTCACACGCACTCGCACTCACACTCACTCTCACTCACATGCACTCGCATTCACACGCACTCGCACTCACACGCACTCACACTCGCTCTCACTCGCACTCCCACGCACTCGCACTCACAGGCACTCACAATCACAAGCACTCCCACTCACACGCGCTCACACTCACACGCGCTCACACTCACGAGCACTCACACGTACTCGCACTCACACGCGCTCGCACTCACACGCACTCGCACTCACACGCTCTGGCACTCACACGCACTCACAGTCACTCGCACTCGCACGCACTTGCACTCGCACTCGCACACACTCGCCCTCACACGCACTTGCACTCACACGCACTCCCAGTCACACGCGCTCGCACTCTCACGCACTCCCACTCACTCACACTCACACTCACATGCACTCGCACTCACACGCACTCACAATCACACGTACTCGCACTCGCACTCGCACTCGCACACACTCGCACTCATACGCACTCGCACTCACTCGCACTCCCACTCACATGCACTCGCACTCTCACGCACTCCCACTCACTCGCACTCACACTCACATGCACTCGCACTCCCACGCACTCGCACTCATACGCACTTGCACTCACACGCACTCGCACTCACACGCACTCCCACGCACACACACTCCCACTCACACGCACTCGCACTCACATGCACTCACACTCGCACTCCCACGCACTCACACGTACTCACACGCACTCACAATCACACGCACTCCCACTCACACGCACTCACACTCACACGCGCTCACACTCACACGCACTCACACTCACACGCACTCCCACTCACGCACACTGGCACTCGCATGCACTCGCACTCGCAGTCACTCACGCTCGCACGCACTCGTACTTACACGCACTCGCACTCACACGCACTCGCACTCGCACACACTCGCACTCACACGCACTCCCACTCACACGCATTCGCACTCACGCGCACTCGCACTCACTCGCACTCACACGCACTCGCACGTACACGCACTCGCACGTACACGCACTCGCACTCACACGCAATCACCCTCACACGCACTCGCACTCACACGCACTCGCACTCACACGCACTCGCACTCACACGCACTCCCACTCACACGCACTCGCACTCGCACGCACTCGCACTCACCCGTACTCCCACTCACACGCATTCGCACTCACGCGCACTCGCACTCACACGCACTCACATGCACTCGCACTCACACGCACTCGCACGCACTCGCACGTACACGCACTCGCTCTTGCACTCGCACTCACACGCAATCACACTCACACGCACTCGCACTCATGCACTCGCACTCACACGCACTCGCACGCACTCGCACTCACATGCACCCTCACTCACACACAACCGCATTCGCACGCAGGGGTGGTTATATGGAGGAGTTGGAAGCTTAGTAGAGTTGGATGACAGGAGATTTGTGAGCTACAGGACAAGAGCAGTCAAGTAGTGGAGCTTGGTTGGTGAGACTGAGGGGTTTATCAAGGTGGTGATGGATTAGGGCAGGCAAGAGTGTGTGCTTGCTTGTGGTTTCATCCATGCCACGCCGCACCACCCATCCCGCCCATACAATGTGTCTCCCCTCCATGCACCCTGCACGCGGCCCTCCATGCACCCTGCACGCACTGCTCCAAATAAGGCAAGAGCATTCCCTTGCCCCCATCTCACCACTTCCACTCCCCCCCCCCCCCCCGCACATGGCAGGCCATGGGGCGGGTGGGTGAGGGCGGGGTGGTGCTGCTGCCGCACACGCTGGTCGACACCCACGTGCGCTCCGACGCTGCCACGCTCACACCCCCCGCTGCTGCTGGCGGGGAGGGCAGCGGGGCGGGGGGGGGCTACGCGGTGTACGTGCTGAACCCGCGGGTGATGCCGCGGCGCTACGCGTACTCGTATGGCAGCCGGGGGGACACCGTGTGCCCGGGCACCTCCTTCCACGATGAGGTCACCTCCTGCGCTCATGCTTTGTGGCGCTGTGTGCCACCATCGCTTGCTGCCCATCGCTTGCTGCCCCTCGCTTGCTGCCCCTCGCTCGCTGCCCCTCGCTTGCTGCCCCTCGCTCGCTGCCCCTCGCTCGCTGCCCCTCGCTCGCTGCCCCGCGCTCGCTGCCCCGCGCTCGCTGCCCCCCGCTCGCTGTCCCCCGCTCGCTGCCCCTCGCTCGCTGCCCCTCGCTCGCTGCCCCTCGCTCGCTGCCCCTCGCTCGCTGCCCCTCGCTCGTTGCCCCTCGCTCGCTGCCCCGCGCTCGCTGCCCCGCGCTCGCTGCCCCCGCCTCGCTGCCCCCCGCTCGCTGCCCCTCGCTCGCTGCCCCTCGCTCGCTGCCCCTGCCTGTGCTTGCACCTGCCTGTGCTTGGCCACTAGCCAGCTCTCACCATGGCTCACTTGCGTCTCTCCTCTCATGCCCCGTCTCCCGACTCCTTTCTCCCCCTTCTCTTCTCCTCCCCTTCCGGCAGCGCTACGTGTGGGTGGATCTGACGGCGGGGCCGGTGAGCTACGGGCCGGCGTGGGAGGGGCGGGGGGGCGTCACTCCCGCCGCGTACCTGCGGGCAGAGCAGTACAGCAAGGAGCTGCTGCACGGGGTGAGCACACATGCGAGCACGCGTGCATGTGTGAGATTGCTCGTGCTGCTCTCACGTCTGCCTGCCATCGCTGCATGCACCTCTTCCTCCCTCTGCACGCATCTGCTGCTCTCCCCCTCGCCCGCTCCCGAATTAACCCAATCGCCTCCCACCATGGCAGTGTGGGTCTTCCCAGTCGTGCCCGCAAGCAGCCATTGGGAGGGCGGCAGCACTGCCACCCACTGCTTCACTCACGTCCACTACCCCCTCCCCTCCCTGCCCCTTCCTTCCCCTCACCTCCCCTCCCCTCCCTTCCCCTCCCCTCCCCTCCCTTCCCCTCCCCTCCCCTCCCTTCCCCTCCCTGCCCCTCCCTTCCCCTCCCCTCCCCTCCCCTCCCTTCCCCTCCCCTCCCCTCCCCTCCCCTCCCTTCCCCTCCCCTCCCCTCCCTTCCCCTCCCTGCCCCTCCCTTCCCCTCCCATCCCCTCCTCTCCCTTCCCCTCCCCTCCCCTCCCCTCCCCTCCCTTCCCCTCCCCTCCCCTCCCTTCCCCTCCCTGCCCCTCCCTTCCCTGTCCCCCCACCCTCCTCTCCCTTCCCATCCCTGCCCCTCTCCCACACGCCCTTCCCCTCCCCGCCCTCCTCTGCCCCCCCCACAGGCGTTCCTGGCGCACGTGGCAGTGCTGGTGGACAGTGCGGTGCGGCATGTGTTTGTGCCGCCGCTGCTGCATGCGCCCGTGGTGTACGCGGTGACCACCGACATCTGGGTCATTGCCATGCACAGCGCTACCGGAGAAGGCGGGCATGTAGGCGATGAGGGCATGGGGCTGGACCTCACCGCCATCAAGGACCAGGTGAGTGAGGCTATCCCTACTAGCCTAAGCTCTGCCATTAGGACAAGTTACCTGTTGGAGTAGGACGAGTCACCTGCTGGATCCAGGTCGAAACTTTATACGCATGCTGGACCTCACCGCCATCAAGGACCAGGTGAGGCGTGCACGAGGGAGGTTGGGGCGGCGTGGTGCATGGCAAGCGTGGATGGTGGGTGAAGGGGACCAGGTGCTGCTGGGTGAAGGGGACCAGGTGCTGCTGGGTGAAGGGGACCAGGTGCTGCTGGGCCGTCTGCGCCCCACGCACGCCTCATCTCACGCACCTGCCCATTCCCCTCTCTCATTCATTCTCAACTCATCAAAATCCTGTGGCACCCTAGCCTGCAATGGTTGTGCTCACTTTGCTTCCCCATGGTCCCACCCCTCCAACCCCTCACAACTGCATCCTCACCCCCGTCACCCGCGCAGCTGCTAGCGCGCTCACCACCGGTGGTGCTGGGGGGGCAGCAGGTGCGCTTCAAGCAGGTCCACCTCTCCCTCGCCACCTGCTCCTTCTGCTCCACCGCTCTGCACCGCGCCATGCGGGTGCGCTCTTTACAAATCCTGCTCCCTTTCCTCTCATGCCTCGCATCGCTGTTTGCTTCTCGCATCTGTTCCTCATCCACGCGCTGCTTGACCCTTAAAGCAAGGACAAGCATTTACCTCGGTTGCGCAAAGGATTATTTCGTGCCCGATATTGGACGGGCAAATGTGTTGTGTCAAGAAGACACACAGAGATTGGAGCACAAGAGGTGGAGGTGAAGCCATGCCCTGACTTCAACCTCTCCTCCTCTCCTCTCGTCGCCTCTTCCCTTCCCTTCTCTTCCCCCTTGCCACCCGCCACCCGCCACCTGCCACCCGCCACCCGCCACCCCGCCAGTCTGGCCTGTATGAGGCCTCCGCTGGTGCTGCTTCCAGCTCAGCAGCAGGCGTGCCAGGTGGCATGGAGGTGCGGCGCCACCTGGACTCGGAGGATCTGCACCGCCACCTGTCGGAGTTGTGGCCCGAGATCACTGGTGAGCCCACCTCAACCATGCTCACTGCAGCTTCCCGCTTCACACATGCAATGCTGCTGTGCTGTGCTGTGCTCTGCTCTGCTAACTCGCACCACCCCATGCCCTCCCCACCCCAACCACCGCTCCCAGAGCTAGCGGGGCTGCCACTGCCGGACTATGCGGAGCGCAACGACCCCAACCCCCACGCAGGGCGCTTCTTCCCCGTCTTCCTCTTCGACCTGCACGAGCCATACCCGCTGCTGCTGGATGGCCGCCACCGGGTAATGCCCGGGGCACATGGAGGGCGGAGAGTGGGGACGCAAAGGGGTACAAGGCGGGTGAAGGCATGCGGCAATCCCCTTGTGCAATGTGCAGCTTTGTTTATTGAAGTGCTGCATTCTCTCCTCTCTTTGCCCCCATGTTCTCTCGCCATGGTGCCACCATGCTCTTCTCCCCCCCACCTCACCCCCCATCAGGCGCTGGCGTACGACGACATGGTGCTGGCTGTGCGCTCCACTGCCCCGCTGCTGCCCTCGCACTACATGTGAGACACGCTGGGGGAGCGGTGCGGGCGGGGGGCTATAGGAGGTGCGGGGGGGCCATGGGAGGTGCGAGGGGGCCATGGGAGGTGCGGAGTGGGGATGGGAGGTGGGGAAGGATGGGGTGTGTAGCGCAAGGTGGTCACACTCCCATTGCTGTGATTCCGTTGTTGCGCATTGAATGCTCTTCGCCCCACCCCATGCTGCATGCCTGGCCCCACCCCATGCTGCATGCCTGGCCCCACCACCAGCAACCCCAGCCTAACCTCCCCTCCTCCCCGTCACCACCAGGTGCGAGGGCGAGGTGGTGGACATGGATCCCAGCAACGTCACGCGCCCCGTGCTCTCCGCCATCCTGCACACCGCCTGGGGCCTCGCGCCCACGTACGCCCCCTCCCCCTGCTCGCCCCCTGCTCGCTCGGCCGTGCTCGCCCCTTTGCTGCCTCCCAGCTTCCCTCACGCACACACCGCCTTGCTTCCTGCCCTCCGTCCTCACGCACTGTGCGAGGGCCAGGCGCTCAGCGCTACCAAGCATGCACCTTAATCTGCCCTCGTCCAACCAGCACCTGCATTGACCTTCCAACCACAGCGCCCATGCCATCCATGTATGCTCTCACCACTTCCCCGCATCTCCCATCTCCCACCTGCCCTATGCCACCTGCTCTGTGCCATCTGCTCTGTGCCATCTGCTCTGCGCCATCTGCTCTGCGCCATCTGCTCTGTGCCATCTGCTCTGCGCCATCTGCTCTGCGCCATCTGCTCTGCGCCATCTGCTCTGCGCCATCTGCTCTGCGCCATCTGCTCTGCGCCATCTGCTCTGCGCCATCTGCTCTGCGCCATCTGCTCTGCGCCATCTGCTCTGCGCCATCTGCTCTGCGCCATCTGCTCTGTGCCATCTGCTCTGCGCCATCTGCTCTGCGCCATCTGCTCTGCGCCATCTGCTCTGCGCCATCTGCTCTGCGCCATCTGCTCTGCGCCATCTGCTCTGTGCCATCTGCTCTGCGCCATCTGCTCTGCGCCATCTGCTCTGCACCATCTGCTCTGCGCCATCTGCTCTGTGCCATCTGCCCTGCATGCATCCTCCCCACCAGCCATGAGGCATGGAGCGCCATCCACAATGCCTCGCAGCACGACTACCGGTGGAGCAGCGGCATCACGCCCATGGGCCCCTTCTCACGCCACCTCACTGTCACCACCACGATGCGGGACACGGCGCTGCGCAACGTGGTGCTGTCCACGCTCAACTCCACCATCTCCAGCATGCTTCACCTCCTCTCCGCGCTCCAGGTGCCCCGCTTCTCTTCCCTTCTCCCCACTCCCTCTCCCCTTGCATTCTTCCCTCTCCTTCTCCCCCTCCCCTCTCCCTCTCCCGTCACCTTCTCCTCTCCCCGTCTCCCCTCCGTTTCCCCCCTCCCCCCCTCCGTTTCCCCCCTCCCAGTCTCCCTCCCCTTACCATCTTCCCTCGCCATTTGTTCTGCTCGGCACTCGCCCCCCAAACCGCACCTCAACCCAAAGCGTTACTGCCCTCCTCCTTCTGTGCCGTGCTTCACCGCCTTCTCATCCCGCTCCCCTCCCCTCCCATGTCCCCCCCACCACCCCTGTACCACCAGAGGTACGGGTCGGAGGAGGCAGCGCTGAAACCGGGCGCAGTGAGGCAGCGCTTTGAGCAGCGCTGGGGGGTGCTGCGCCACAAGCTGCAGCGCGCCGCGGCGGCCCTGTCCGCAGTGGACATGCACTTGGCGGGGTACTATGCGCGGTCGGCGCGGCATGACATGGACGCGCTGTTTGAGCTGGCAGGGCAGTCCGCGCAGGACATGCACACCTCCTTCTCCTGCTTCCAGGTCCGCCCCCCTCCCCTTCTCCCCCTTCTCCCATCCCTCCCTCGTCTGCCTGCCATGCCATGGCACTGCATCTGTTGCTCCCTCGTCTGCCTGCCATGCCATGGCACTGCATCTGTTGCTCCCTCGTCTGCCTGCCATGCCATGGCACTGCATCTGTTGCTCCCTCGTCTGCCTGCCATGCCATGGCACTGCATCTGTTGCTCCCTCGTCTGCCTGCCATGCCATGGCACTGCATCTGTTGCTCCCTCGTCTGCCTGCCATGCCATGGCACTGCATCTGTTGCTCCCTCGTCTGCCTGCCATGCCATGGCACTGCATCTGTTGCTCCCTCGTCTGCCTGCCATGCCATGGCACTGCATCTGTTGCTCCCTCGTCTGCCTGCCATGCCATGGCACTGCATCTGTTGCTCCCTCGTCTGCCTGCCATGCCATGGCACTGCATCTGTTGCTCCCTCGTCTGCCTGCCATGCCATGGCACTGCATCTGTTGCTCCCTCGTCTGCCTGCCATGCCATGGCACTGCATCTGTTGCTCCCTCGTCTGCCTGCCATGCCATGGCACTGCATCTGTTGCTCCCTCGTCTGCCTGCCATGCCATGGCACTGCATCTGTTGCTCCCTCGTCTGCCTGCCATGCCATGGCACTGCATCTGTTGCTCCCTCGTCTGCCTGCCATGCCATGGCACTGCATCTGTTGCTCCCTCGTCTGCCTGCCATGCCATGGCACTGCATCTGTTGCTCCCTCGTCTGCCTGCCATGCCATGGCACTGCATCTGTTGCTCCCTCGTCTGCCTGCCATGCCATGGCACTGCATCTGTTGCTCCCTCGTCTGCCTGCCATGCCATGGCACTGCATCTGTTGCTCCCTCGTCTGCCTGCCATGCCATGGCACTGCATCTGTTGCTCCCTCGTCTGCCTGCCATGCCATGGCACTGCATCTGTTGCTCCCTCGTCTGCCTGCCATGCCATGGCACTGCATCTGTTGCTCCCTCGTCTGCCTGCCATGCCATGGCACTGCATCTGTTGCTCCCTCGTCTGCCTGCCATGCCATGGCACTGCATCTGTTGCTCCCTCGTCTGCCTGCCATGCCATGGCACTGCATCTGTTGCTCCCTCGTCTGCCTGCCATGCCATGGCACTGCATCTGTTGCTCCCTCGTCTGCCTGCCATGCCATGGCACTGCATCTGTTGCTCCCTCGTCTGCCTGCCATGCCATGGCACTGCATCTGTTGCTCCCTCGTCTGCCTGCCATGCCATGGCACTGCATCTGTTGCTCCCTCGTCTGCCTGCCATGCCATGGCACTGCATCTGTTGCTCCCTCGTCTGCCTGCCATGCCATGGCACTGCATCTGTTGCTCCCTCGTCTGCCTGCCATGCCATGGCACTGCATCTGTTGCTCCCTCGTCTGCCTGCCATGCCATGGCACTGCATCTGTTGCTCCCTCGTCTGCCTGCCATGCCATGGCACTGCATCTGTTGCTCCCTCGTCTGCCTGCCATGCCATGGCACTGCATCTGTTGCTCCCTCGTCTGCCTGCCATGCCATGGCACTGCATCTGTTGCTCCCTCTCAACCCCCTCCTGTGTTTTATGTCCCTCCCGTGTGCCCCACGCCTGCTGCCAGGAGGCGCCAATGGCGTGGTCGGTGTGGGGTGGGGGGGCGGTGCTGGCATATCTGGCATTCCTGGTGGGGCGCAACCACTGGCGAGTGTGGCGCGTTAAACACAAACGCTTCTAGCCACTTCCTGCCATGTCACCTGCTCAGGCCCCACCCTAGCTAGGTGGAATCATTCCCTGGAATGCCCTGATTGTAACTCTACTTGGCTGACAATAAAAGCGTTATTTTTACCATACTGCACATTCAGCTAAAGCCTCGAGACCGCACCGCACCCTTGCACTCCAACCCTTGTAAATTCGCAGATTTCCACTACATCTGCGAAATTCGTAAGTTCAGACCTGTCATCTCATATTCGAGCAAGCATCGCAGAATCGCCAAATCACACATGGCCGAGGCTTCGAATCACGAACCACCACCCCAGCAGCAGATCAGGCGATCCGACGGCGATCCCTTCTCTGCGTTCTCCGACAACCTGCTGGGCGCCGTGCTGCTGCGCGTGGCGTGCACCGGCGTCAGATTCGTTAGCCAGGATCGTCCTGTGACTGACGAGGAAGAAGCTGATGCGGAGAAGAAGATCGACGAGGCCCTAATTGAGCCGCTCCCCTCGGAGAGCGACTAGCTGGCTGGCGATCCCGAGGCTACCGCTGAGGCGGCTCGTTCTTCCAGCGTGAAGTGCGCGCCGTCGCTGGTCTCGTTCCGCCACGCGCTCGTCTGCAAGCGCTGGTTGCGCGTCGCCCAACTCGTGCATCCCGCCATCATCGTTCCGCTCAACCGCTTCTTCTCCGCGCGCGCCCTCGCGTCCCTCCTCGGCGCGCCCGCGACCGCGGGGTTCCCCAACCTCCGCCACCTGCACCTCGCGCCGAACGCGCTGGACACCGTCGATCCCGCGCTCGTGCGCGCCATCTGCGCCGGATCTGGGCCGTCTCTAACGCACCTTACGCTGCAGCTGCACGATGCCTGGCTACACGTGACGCGCGCGCGACAGTACTCTTTTCGTGGGATTGGCGCGCAGGCGGCGGCGGTGGCGGAAGCGGCGCTAGCGGCGGGGGCGGTCTCGCCGGCCGATGTCGCCGCCTTGTTCAGCTCTTGCACGCGATTGGTCAGTCTCGACGTGAACTTTGGGAGAGGTCTTTCCGAGGTTCCCGCGGCCGTCAGCTGCCTGCAGCAGCTCACGAATTTCGGCATGTCCTTTGACGACGATGGTACCACGTTACCAGCAGAGTTTGGCAGTTTGGTGCGACTGAAGCGGTTACAAATCCGGTCGACTTCCCTCGTGCTGCCCGATTCCTTTTGCGGCCTGCCCGCCCTGGAGCACGTCAGCTTGCGCGGTTGCGTTTTTTCCCATCTGCCCAGCAATCTCGGGCAGCTTCGAAACCTCAAGAATCTCACTCTCAAACTTTTGATGCAGCTCGTCGAGCTGCCCACCTCCATCTGCCTCCTCTCCGCGCTTACCAGTCTGACCCTCGTGCACTGCCGCGTGCTCGCTAAACTGCCCGAAAACTTTCACCAGCTGGCGAATCTGCGCACCATCCACCTGGAAGCACTAATTGCCCTCTCTGCCCTTCCAGAATCTTTCGGTCAGCTGCCCGCGCTGCGTGACCTCACCATTGAAGGCAACGGTCGCCTTAAGCACCTCCCACCGTCGCTCTCTGCGAGCAGAACGCTGGAGCGCCTCTCTCTCAACGAATGCCAAGCGCTCTCAGCCCTGCCGCACGCCATCGGTGGCATTCCCACGCTGGCACGCGTCGACCTCCTCTTTCTCGACGCCCTCACCGCGCTCCCTGACTCCCTGGGATGCGCGTCGCGCCTGCACGAGCTGAGCATCGTCAAGTGTCGCCACCTTTTGGCTCTCCCGCGCTCGGTCTCCGCCCTCACCTCCCTCGCCAGCCTTACGCTCGATGACTCCGCTGTGTGTGCGCTGCCTGAGGACTTCGGCCAGCTGTCGAATCTGGTCCAGCTGAAGCTGTCCTGCGGGCATTTGTCTGCCCTGCCCAGGTCGTTCGGGCAGCTGGGAAAGCTGCAGGAGCTGGGGCTCCACGCCTGCTACGGGCTACTCGAGCTGCTTGCGGTTTTTCGCAGATCTCTCGTCACTCGAAACGCTGGTCATTTATGGAGGAAGGTCGCTCATCTCCCTGCCGCCCAACTTCGAGCAGCTCCCGCAGCTGCGCCGCCTGGAGCTCTTCAACTGCGCCATTCCGAGCCTGCCAAAGAGGTTCGGGCAGCTGACGAAGCTAGAGATTCTCAAGGTGGGAAGCAGGGAGAGTTACACGAGGGACGGCGTGGACCCAGGGCAGCCCTCCTCATCTGTGTGCCCAACGGCGCTCTCAGTGGCCACGCTGAATGAACCGCTGTTGGGGCGCTGCCTGCTGCGCAGCTTGCCGCCGTCCGTCTCTTCCCTCACGTGTCTGCAGCAGCTGGTGCTGGAGGGGTGTGACGCGCTGGACAGCCTGCCAGAGGGGCTGGGCCGCCTCCCAAGGCTGCAAGTGCTGCACGTCAAGAATTGCCCAAATCTAAGCTGCTTCCCCTCCCTCATGCCCGCTCCTCCTCCCACCTCCACCTCCGCACCTGGGGGGCGTTCTGCCACTGCTGCCCCTGCTGCCCCTGCTGCCCCTGCTGCCGCTGCTGCCGCTGCTGCTGCTGCTGCCACTACTGCCCCTGCTGCCGCTGCGGCCCCTGCTGTGCCTGCTCCCGCTGGGCCTGTTACTCATTCTCGGACACATCCCTTTGCGTGCCCTGCTGCTTGCTCCTCTCCGCTCCCCATGCTTTCCACCCTGGAAATTTCCAACTGCCCGATTCTAAAAAGCCTTCCATGCGGCCTCGATGCTCTGCCCCGGCTGGAGCGATTCACCCTGGAAAAGTGCGACCAGCTGGATTTTGCAGATGACTTCTTAGAATGCCCCTCCTCCACCTCACTTGCTGCACCCATCACCCTGCCCCCGTCCGTCACCACCGTTTCCCTGCATGACGTCTTCGGAGATGCGTCCTACTTGCCGGACTCCTTCCGCACCCTCACACGCCTCACCCATCTCAGCCTGCACGAGCTCATCTCTCTCCACTCACTCTTCGCCCCTCCCATGCATGGCGCCCCACCTGCTGCTGACCTCGGCACTGCAGGCACCCAAACCATCCGATTCTCGGTTTCCCGGTCAATCCTCAGCCCGGTCAGTCGGTCAGATTGGCGCTGCTCTCATCTCTGCAGCACCTGGCAATCGTGGAATCCACCCTGCCGTCGCTGCCCAGTAACCTCAACGACCTCTCAAGCCTCAAGGTGCTCATTCTCGAAAAATGCGCCTTCATGCCCTCCCTCTCTACCCCTCCTCTCCAACCTTGAAAAACTCGTGCTGAAAAAACTCCCGCAACTGGCGCGCCTGCCCAAGAATCTCGGGCAGCTGAAGGCCCTGAAAGAGCTCACGGTGGAGGCGTGCAATGCGCTGACGGGGCTGCCCGCGGTCATGGGATTCCTCTCCTCCCTCGTCCTCCTCTCCGTCACTGAATGCAACAAGTTCGCCTCTTTCCCCGACTCCATTGGCTCCCTCCCCCGCCTCGCCTCCCTCAAGCTCAACTGCCTCCCCCGCCTGCGCCGCCTGCCAGAGTCCCTCTCCCTCCTCCCTGCCTTGGTGATTCTTTCCCTGGAAGACTGTGAGCAGCTGCAAGCGCTGCCGGAGGGGCTGGCAGGTGTGGGGACGTTGAGGGAGGTGATAGTGGCGGGGTGCTGCGAGCTCAAGCATGTGCCCCAGTCGCTGCTGGCGAGGCAAAACATGATCGACCTGCAGCTCAGGTGAGGAGGAAAGAGGGGGAGGGGGTGAAAGGAGGGTGGGCGGTTGAGACGACGTGGAAGGCTGGGAGGAGCAGCAGAGGGGATTGGTGTGTAGTAACATTGCTGAAAGGAGGGGCATGGGTACCGTATTTACCCGGCTAATAGACCCGGGGTCTAATCCTATGTGTAGTTTTATTTTTTTTTCCACGTCGAACACGAGTGTTTGAACATCAAAGAACGAGATTTCAATATCGCGTCTGGAAAATCGTGACCACGCGCTGATGCGAAGAGCACGTGGTCACTTGCTCGAGTCATATCACTGTTTGCGCAACCCTCAAGTAATGTGTCTCGCTACAATTTCGACTGAAATTCACTTTTCTACAGGGGGGTCGAATCCGGGATGCATTACAAAAAGGGGGGTCTAATACGAAAGTGGAGATAGGATTAGACCCCCCCCCATTTAACGACCCGGGGGTCCATAATTGTGGGGGATCCATTAGCCGGGTAAATACAGTAGATTGCTAGTGTTGGCAGGCTGTGCGTTGGATGGTACCTGGATTACTTGCATTGTTTTAGGTTATATTATAGTTAGGATGACTACCATAACTCTACACTCAGAAAAGCGATACGTTTTGAAACGGCGAAAAAATAAACTGTTCTGCCAAAATCTTTCAATTCTACAATTTATTGAGTCTCGGTTGCATTAGATTAGAACCACTCGTCTGCAGATGAGACAAACCGTGCTTCTGCTTGCAGTTGAGTACTAAACTATTGTGGTACTGAATGTCTTCTGGATTAATCATACGGTATTTTCCTTCCACTCCACTCCACAACTCAATGATCCTAATGGCTTAATCTTCGCCAAACACACCTGAGGGGCTAGTCTAAACTCACAAGCACAGTCTACTGCAAGCACGAACTTGGGAATCACACTCTCAGTATCGTAATTTCAAATGTACGGTAGTCTTCTGAAGGTGTACATCCATAGCATCTGGTTAAGAATCTAAGTACCGTACGTTACTAGGTAACAGACCAGTGGTTAGTGTATGCTAGATGTGCACCCAAAGTGTGGCCGGCCGTTGCAGCAACAGTGGAATCAGAATCAGAACCCGCCTCCATTGCCAACACTGGCGGTATCAGCAGCAGCACAGGCGGCATCACTGTGCATGTCATCGCTGTCCCCATCGTACGGCCCTGATGCACCGCCCCCGTGGTCCATCTCCTTGATGCTGCCGTTGTCCATGTGGCGCTCTATGGTTCGCCGGCTCACCCCGCCTGCCTGCATGCGCATCATCGCCACAAACTCGTTGTAGTCCACCCGCCCCGCCTGCCAGCCCCCCTCACACACGCACGCACATGCACACACCCACACATGCACACGCCCACACATGCACACGCACACACACGCACATAGGCGCACGCATGCACACGCAGACATACATGTGGGGCGGGGAGGGATGGTTGAACGAGGGGGCACGGAGGCACATGGGTGTGCACACCACACTGCCTCGTGTTGCTTGCCTCCAGTGCTGTCCACGTGGCCACACTCACATGTGAAGGAGGGAACAGGATTAGGGATAGAAGTGCGGAGGGAGGGGCTGGAGAGTTGGTGGGAGAAAATGGAACAACGAAGATCAGTTGAGCCAGCAGCCACCTGTCCATTCCCTTCCCTGTCATTTGTAAAAACCCCTTATACTGCTCATCATTCATCTCACCTCATCGCGGTTGACCTCGGCCATCATCTCCTGCACCACTTGGCGGTTGACGCGGTACTTGTCACAGGCGCGCTGCAGCTCGGCCTCGCTGATGTAGCCGCTGAGGTCCTGGTCGAACACGGAGAAGGCCTGGAACAGGTTCTCCTGCTGCTCCACCCCGCACAGCTGCAGCAGCGCCACGAAGAAGTCCGCATAGTCAAACGCCACCTTGCCGTCCAGACAGATCTGCCACGCAGCCATTGGGGCGGGGGGAAGAGGAGTTGGGAATGACATGTTGTGTGGGCGACCATCATGCCCTGGGGCTGGGTAATGGATGCTCGCAATGCATGCATTGAGAATTGAGAAAAATGTTTTGGTATCGTGATTACGAGCAAAAGGCTGGGTTTGTGGCACTGTGCGATGTACCAGTCCAGTCGTGGCCCGGTTCAAGTGGGCCGACACACGCCCGACCACTCTAGGTCTGGGCCACGAAGAGAGCAGAAACTAATCCGTTGTAACCAATCTTGGTTTGTTGGGTTTCCGCCTTAGTCCGTGGAGGCAGATGGGGCTCACCTCGTGGATGATGCTGGCGACAGCATCGGCAGGGCCGTGGAAGCCGCGCGAGTGCAGCGCGTGGGGCAGCGCCTCGATGGGCACCACTCCAGTGGCGTTGGGGTCCAGGCGACCCAAGTCGCCCTGCACCACGCGGATGTCGTCCTCCCCCATGCCCTCCACCATGGCCTGCCGTGGGGAGGATGTCGTAGACAGGACTCAGGGGACAAGTGAGAGAGTATGACTGAAACACACCACATACGCACGCACTGCGCTGTCTCGCATGGAGTGATTAGGGGACGGAGCGATGGCACAGAGCAGTGCGAGTGCACTTCCTTGCCCGCTCCCTAAACCATCTCCGACACACATGCAATGCAAACCATGCGCATTGCGTAGCAAAATGGTACTTGATGATTGTGTCGGTGGTTGTGGTATTTTGCTCTAGCTGGTTGTGGGCTAAAGACTTGGGCTAAATGTGATTTGTAGACTTGTTGCGAACTGGGATTGAACTCGTACTTAACAAACATTAACAAACCTTTGGACTTGTTGCGGACATTTTGGATTGTTGGGGATTATTGTAGGGCGAGGGTTGGGAAGGTACGGTTTGTCAAACTCGTCACTTTTCAGATCTAAACTCTATATATAACCATTCTTTATATCTAATCCATGGCTGCCAAGTGATTCCGCCGGAATACTCCGTCCCATTCAAATCGCCATAGCGATCAGCCTAGATCCAGGTTTAAGGCGTTCCTTACCATTCTGAAGAATAGACATTAAGACGCTTCCAACGCATATCTGATCATATTATAAGATTACGTGAGTGACACGCAACGTTCGCGTCGAAGTCGGTGGACTTAATCTCTTACTACGTTCTCTGAATTTGCACGCTTTCCATCAGTATTTTTTTCGCATCCTGTTGCTACCAGTCGTACACCGACTCCCTTTCAGGCTCACCTGCTACTGCTATACTATGGCTGTGCGCGACTCACCCGGAGCGCCACCTTCTTGACCTTCTTGAGGCGCATGACGTAGAGGAACTGCTTGAAGCGGTCCACCACGTCCTTCTCCAACGGCTCGTCCGGCGCCCGCACTATCCACGTGTGCTCTGTGCGAGCGCACGATGGGAGCAGGGGAGAGGGCCGGGGCGGGTGTGAATGCGGTGAATGGGGTAGTGCGGTTGCGACCGGGAGGCGGGGAGGAAGAACAAACAGCAGAGGGGCACAAGTGGGGAGAATTGAATGAGGCAGGCAGAAGCAGCACGGAGAGAAAGAGAATGGCAATAATTGGGGTGCAGGATGTGAATGTTACAAGTCACCTGCCACCCGTGCACAGCAGGCGTGAGTGGAAGTGGAGGGTGGTATGACAATTGCTTTCCCACCACATACACACACCGCACCGCACCGTATCCCACCCACCATCTCCCACCCATCATATCCCACCCACCCATACCCCACCCATCATATACCACACATCCCACCCACCCACTATATCACAGGCACGCACCGAGCACCTGCTGTGCAGTGGGGCGCAGGGCGGGGTCGGGGTGCAGCATGGCGGCGATGAGGCTCTTGGCGTCCGCCGATATGCGCCCCCACACCGCCTCTCGGAACAGCCGCTGCGGCTGCAGTATCACCCGCCTGAACGCCCTCTCCGACCCTGTAGGGGGGGAAGAGGGAGGTGGGATGCGGGGAGGAGGAGGGGGGGCAAGGGGCGGGGATGAAACAGTGGATGCTAGCGTGGAGGAATGATCGAGGGGGGGTGGAAGGTTGGTGGTGCGTTGAGGAGGGGCAGGGAGCGACAAGGGAGAGACGGAGGAAGAGAGGGAGGGAGAGGGGGAGAAAGGCAACTGGGTAATAACAGGAGGGAGTGGGTAACTGGCGGCGAGGCGAGTGGGGGAGGAGGTGCGTACGGTCGGGGCCTTGCGGCAGGAAGGGGTAGTTGCCGGCGAGGAGGATGTAGAAGATGACGCCGCACGCCCAGATGTCCACGGGCGGCCCGTAGCGCTGCTTGCCCAGGTTCTCCCAGATGCGGATCACCTCCGGCGCCATGTACATGCAGCTCCCACACACCCGCGTGAATCCCTCGCCTGCCATGCACATGCGTATACACGGGCAAACGGGGGTGGGAGAGCGCATGAGTGCATGTAGGATGAGGCCATGAGGGCATCAGGGCGTGAGGGTCATGGGGGCGTGGGGGCATTAGAGCACGAGGGCAGGAGGGTATGGGGCAATGAGGGTACGAGGGCAGGAGGGTATGGGGCAATGAGAGTACGAGGGCAGGAGGGTATGGGGCAATGAGGGTACGAGGGCAGGAGGGTATGGGGCAATGAGGGTACGAGGGCAGGAGGGTATGGGGCAATGAGGGTACGAGGGCAGGAGGGTATGGGGCAATGAGGGTACAAGGGCAGGGTGCTGCAGAGACAGATGGTGGGGCGCCTGGCATTTGCACTCCAGCAATGGCACCACACCCTTTGATCACTTCCCTGATTTTACTGCACCACTCGCTCTGCCACCCTCTGCCAGCAGCCCCACCTGCCCCTCTGCCAGCAGCCCCACCTGCCCCTCTGCCAGCAGCCCCACCTGCCCCTCTGCCAGCAGCCCCACCTGCCCCTCTCACCGGGTTTGAAGTAGGCAGCCATGCCGAAGTCAGCGGCCTTGAGCACGGCATCGGCGCCAGCGGAGGAGAAGAGGAAGTTCTCGGGCTTGAGGTCACGATGGATCACCCCGCTGCTGTGGCACGAATGCACCGCGCGCACCACCGCCTTGCACAGCTTCGCCGCGTCGCGCTCACTGCCCCTCGTGCGCACGGTGGTTGGTGGAGGGTGAAGGCGGACGGGTGTAGTGGGGAGAGAACAGGTGAGGGATGTACACGGCAGGAGGAAGGTGGTGGTAGCAATGGCACAGTGAGGGCCAGGGACAAAGGCAAAAGTGGTGGAAAGAAGATGCTGCGCGCATGGCAGGGTTACATGCAAGGCTGATGTGTGTGAAAGCTGTGGGCGACTGAATGACGTTCAAGAGTACCATCATCATCGCCATCGCCATCACCATCGCCATCACCATCGCCATCGCCATCACCATCGCCATCACCATCGCCATCGCTCATGTTCATCCCCACACTACTTCCCTTACCAACAGGGCACCCATGCATGTTTCCCCACCGTCTTCCCCTCATTCTAGCGACAACTGTACGACACGGGCGTGCTATGGGACCTACGCGGATGCTCCCCTCATGCTCCGCTCATATAGCCTTCCCCACTCCATCACTTACCCGCCCCGCACACCCCATCCCATCCATCCACCCCCTCACCTGTAGGGCAACCCCCCATCCCATCCCACCCACCCCGCACCTCCCCCCATCCCATCCCACCCACCCCCCACATGCCCCCATCCCATCCCACCCACGCCCTCACACTTGTACGTAGGGCAATCTCCATAACATCCTATCCACCCCGCACCTGTAGGTTCCCCCAATCCCACCCTGTCCCTCGCCTGTATGTAGACACCCACCATCCCATGCCATGCCACCCCTGCCCACACCTGTAGGGCACGGTCATCTCATCGCAGCGGCGGTTGATCTCATCGAAGAGCTCGCCCCCGCTGCAGAGCTCCATGACGATGTGGATGTCGCGGCGGTCCTCGTACGTGCTGTGCACGCGCACCACGTTCGGCTGCCCCTGCAGCCGGAACAGCACACTCACCTGCCGTGGGGTGGGATGAGGAGCTGTGAACAGATCACAACTTGTTTGACTGTCATGTGTGGTTTGGGGGGGATGGCTGCTCTAGTCTTCATTGGGAGATGCATGTGATGCGTGTTCCTTTTCGTTGAACACCCCAAACGCTCGCCAGGGCACTAGACGTGGTCTTCACATTGTTACTTATTCCCTTGCATGCATAGCATAGCAAAACACGAAATCACTAAGGCTGTTGGTCCCAAGTGCTAAAACCTGAAATGGATTCAATTCAGAAAGTGCTGTCAGCTCGAGCATGGGATCTGCTGCTTGTATACCGTATCACGAGCTCACCGAAAACTTAAAAAAGGGGTGGGTGGGTGGGGTGCTGTCGGGGAGGCTGGAGAGAGGAGGATTTTTTCAGCACTGCTGGTAAGCCCTGGCTGGCTGGCCCATCCCCATGATTCAGGGGTGGCAGGGATCGCTCTGCTGGATAGGTTGCTTGGACTTCACATGGTTTTAGCGTAGACCAGGGAGCTGAGGCCAGGCTGGGTGGGGGGAGAATGACCCCCTCAGGGGGGTTTGGGGTAGAGCCTCTTCGAGTGGAGTACTTGACTCACTCAAGCTCTTTTTGAATAGAGGACGCGTTCAAGAAACTTGTCAAAGTAGCGAGTTGTGAGACACAATTCTATCGAAAAAAAACTCGACGAGTTTTCCTCAATTCGGCTTTACTGGTAAGCAGAACTCGGAAATGCGAGTGGAGAAGAACCCGACTCGTCCGTTGCCCATGTACACTCACCTCCATGCGCCCGTACACTCACCTCCATGCGCCCGTACACTCACCTCCATGCGCCCGTACACTCACCTCCATGCGCCCGTACACTCACCTCCATGCGCCCGTACACTCACCTCCGTGCGCCCGTACACTCACCTCCGTGCGCCCGTCTACTCACCTCCATGCGCACATCCTCCACATCCTCCACGGAGATGAGGGAGCTGCGAGCGATGGTCTTGCAGGCGTAGCGCACGCCCGTGGCCTTCTCCGTGCACACATACACCTTGCCGTACTGCCCCTCGCCCACCGCCTTGCGCTCTATATTGAACAGCGTTCGAATGTTGGCTGGGGGAGGGGAGGGGAGGGCGGGCCAAGTGGGCAGTGAGTGAGGGGACGCACGGAGAAGATGACAAGGCAAAGGCAGAGGGAATGAGGGGACGGAGAGGAAGGCAGGTGAGCGGAGCAGTGAGGTGATGGTGGCAGGGAGGTGATGGTGGCAGGGAGGTGATGGTGGCAGGGAGGTGATGGTGGCAGGGAGGTGATGGTGGCTGGCAGGGAGGTGATGGTGGCAGGGAGGTGATGGTGGCAGGGAGGTGATGGTGGCAGGGAGGTGATGGTGGCAGGGAGGTGATGGTGGCAGGGAGGTGATGGTGGCAGTGAGCACGGGCGGGTTTGGTGGCAGTGAGCACGGGCAGTAGCCACAAGGGCTGCGACTTGGGCAAGGGCGAGGGGCAGGGCTTACGGGTGGGGCACTGGGGGAAGGGGGGTTTGGTGGCGGTGGGCGGTGTGCTTGCGGGTGGGGCGGTGGGCTTAAGGGTGGGGCCGTGGTTGGGCTTAAGGGTGGGGCCGTGGTTGGGCTTAAGGGTGGGGCCGTGGTTGGGCTTAAGGGTGGGGCCGTGGTTGGGCTTAAGGGTGGGGCCGTGGGCTTACGGGTGGGGCCGTGGGCTTACGGGTGGGGCCGTGGGCTTACGGGTGGGGCCGCGGCCGAGCACGGAGGCGGTGAGACTTCTGCCGGGAGTGACGGCGGCCAGGGTGGGCGGCCAGCGCCGTGCGGGCAGCTGAATGCTCAGCTCCATGTCCATGCCCACGCCCATGTCGCCCCCCCCCTGCTGCTGCTGCTGCGAAGGCTGCTGCGAAGGCTGCTGCAGCTGAAAAGAGACATGGTTTTGCTGGTGTGATGGGCGTGGCTGGGGCGGCGGCATGAGGCTGTGGGGGGGCGGAAAGGCCTGCTGCTGCGGGTGATACGACTGCTGCGCCCGCTGCTGCGCCTGCTGCTGCGGGTGGTGCCAGGGGGCGAGCGGAGTGGGGCCGTTGGTGGAGGGCGCGGAGGAATTGGACGCCTGGTGAGGGGGGAGGGGGATGGCGGGCGGCGGGCACGGAGAGAAGGGAAACAGGCATGGATGAGATGAGAGTGATGGGGAGAAAGCGGTGAGGTAGGAGGGTTGAAAAGAGAGTGATGAATGAGTAAAAAACGGGTCAGCAGTGTGTGGGACGACACACCCGTGTGAAGCTGGGCTGTGACGTGAGCAGGGGAAGGCAGGAAGTCACAGGTGTCAGTGGTGTGGATCCATGAGAGACAGACCCTTGTCGCTCACCGAGAGTGAGTGCGCAGCGCAGCATACCATGGAGAAAGTGGGCGAGTGGAGGGGCAGGTGGTGCGTGGTGCGCGCGCAGTAGGGGTTGAGCAGCACCTCTAACGACGTCAGACACGTTCCCACGCAGTCGCCTGTGCGCCGCACGCCCTGCTGCTGCTGGAACGCAAATAACTGCTGCTGCTGAAAGAGAGAGAAGTACGGCTGCTGCTCTTCCTGCACTCCTCCCTCAACGGCCTGCTGCTGCTGTTGCTGCGGAGAAGCGAGAGCAGCGCGCACGTGGGCGGGCCACGGGATGAACACGTCACTCGCCTGCTGCACGCCCGCGCTACCCGCGACGGGAGATGCACGGATGTCCCACGCGGGGGACTCCGGGGCGGAACCAGGGACGGTGGTATCAGGAATGACAGTATCAGGCGCTGCAGAATCAGGCGCGGCGGTATCAGGCGCGGCAAAATCAGGGGCGGAGAAATCAACGGCGGCGGGGCGGGGGAGCGAGGGGAGGGCGCGCGCGGAGGAGCAACTGGCGACGCTGCTGGCGACGCTGCGGTCGGAGGAGAAGGCGGTGTTGCTGCTGCTGCTGCTGCGACCCGACGATGACATCCACAACGCGGGTCACTCGCGGGCAGTCATGCGCGGAGTTTCAAGCGCGGAGCGTAACGCGCGGAGTGTAATGCGCAGAGTGTAATGCGCGGAGTGTAATGCGAGGAGTGTAATGCGCGGAGAGTCAGCGGGATGCCGTACGGGGACGCCACTGGCGCCGGACGTTAACAGTTAAAAGTAGGCAGGTTAAAGACTGAAGCCAGTGGCGGAAGGGGAGGGTCAATAGCGGAATGCTTTTAACGGAGTCTATGAACAAAGGACTATCGGCGGCCGCCTGGGAGATTCGCGGCCGCGAATTTTAGAGTGAGACAGCAACACTAAGCACGAGAGCGAGGCGACGAGCGACGACTCGAGGAAGGAGGGCAGAAACGGATAGACAGGTGGGGCTCGAGAAAATAGCACGATAGATACCAACTAAGCGTCGTCGCTCAAAGCTTCTATTGAACGGTTGAACCGGGTTCGACGCCGACGCTGCCTGTGCGAGTGCGACCAACACATCGTCTTTGCGAGAACGCTGAGAGGCACTTGGTAGCGCGGCAGTCGCGCCAGAGGCGGCTAGACGAAGCAGCTTGACAATGTCGAAGCACGGAATGGGATGATCATGGGAGATCAACACGTGACGAGGAGGTCTGGGATGATGACGCGTTCACGTGGCGTGACGGTAGCGGGAAGTGTAAGACTAAGCAGTTTCAGGTCTCACACAAGCTGTGTGAGGTGCCGCCCTGGAAAGTGGAGTGGACCCAACAGTAGCCGTCAAGCCCTAGGGAGCGTCACGTTTTCCTGGTCGGATGCGATGCTCTGCGTGTCAAAACGGTTTATGCATATGTTTGTACGTTTCGATAGGGTTTCGAGCGAAGGAGACGTCTGACATGAGTGGAACTCGGCAAAACAAGGGCTGTTCTTGGAGAGACGAAGTGACGTTTCCGCAGTCTGATCTTGATGGAAAGGCGCCCACGTTCGCCTCTTGGACATCGCCGTGATCCTTACGGGTTGAAACCACGTAACGGCTTGTCGCTAGTCCACTAGCGAAGAAAATCGTGGCACACAGTGTTCCACCGCGGCCCCTTCGCGGCCCCTCGTGGCCCCTCGCGGCCCCTTCGCGGCCCCTCGCGGCCCCTTCTCGGCCCCTTCGCCGCCCTTCGCGGCCCCTTCGCGGCCCCTCCGTGGCCCTTCGCGGCCCTTCGCGGCTCTTCGCAGCCCCTTCGCGGCCCCTCCCCGGCTCTTCACGGCCCTGCCGCCCCGTCGTCGCCGCCCCAGCAACAGCTACCGTCGCGCCTGCTGCTGCTGCTGCTTCCTCCACGGTCGGTCGCCGCCGCCGCTGCTGCCGTGACAGCCGCCGCCGCTCCTGCTGAGACAACCGCCGCTGCCACTGCCGTGACAGCCGCAGCCACCGTCCCGGCCCTACCCTGCAGCCGAGGCGCGGCCCTCCTCTGCCGCCCTGTAGCGGCCCTGTTCCTGCCGGCGCACCTCGGCCCTGCCCCACCACTTGCGGACCTCTACCCACCCGCCCCTGGTAAGAGCACCGCCGAGCCGCGCCCCTCCTCCTACTGCTGCTGCTGCTAGCCTACTGCTGCTGCTGTCATGGCTACCCCCAATGTGCTCACCTTTGATGCTGAGGGTCGGGCTGTCGACTTTGAGGTCTGGGTCGATGATCTGCAGCTTTTCCTGCAGTGCGATAGAAAAGATGGTCTCTCACTGTTCGATCTCACGTGTGGCGCCTCTGCTGCCCCTGCTGCTGATACTGACAGTACTGTTCGCTCACAGTGGGCCGCACGCGGTGCTGCTGCCCGTCTTGTTGTGCATAGTCACCTGCCGTCCACTGAGCGTGCGCACTTTAGTCAGTACAAGACTACTAAGACCTTGTACGACACTGTAGTTGCGCGCTACTCGTCCCCTGCCACTGCTGCCTTTAGTCGCCTCATGCTGCCGTACCTGTTCCCTTACCTCGCCGCCTTTTCCACTGTCGCTGACCTCATTACGCACCTCCACACTGGTGACACCCACTACCGCGCTGCGCTTCCTGCTGAGTTTTGCGCCAAGAACCCCCCCCCCCCATGTAAATCACCCTCTACTACCTAGTCACCCGGCTCCTTGACTCCATTCGCTCGGTCACGGACCACTTCCTCTCTGTTTGCCCCACCACACTCACCGTTGACCTCCTCGAGGAGCGCCTCCTGGCAGCTGAGAAGAGTATAGTCGCTGTAGGAGCCTCTCGTGGTGACCCTCGTGCCCCCTTCTTTGAGGGGTGCTCCCCCTCCCCCCTTTTGCCCTCTGTTGCCTCTGCTGCTGCGGTCAACCTCGTTGGCACCGAGTCGGTCGGCGCTGCGTCTGCCCCTAGCGGGAGACGCCGCAACGGCAAGGGCAAGGGGGGCAAGGGCGCTAGAGGAGCTGGCGGGGGCGGTGGAGGTGGCGGTGGAGGTGGCGGTGGGGGCGGCGGAGGGGGTGGGGGTGGCGGTGGGAGTGGTGGCGGGGGTGGGGGCTTCGGTGGCGGCGGTGGAGGCGGAGGCGGCGGCGGCAATGGCGGTGGGAGCGGGGGAGGCGGCGGTGGCGGCGGTGGCGGCGGTGGCGGCAGTGGCGGTGGAGCTAGTCGGGGTGGCTCTGTGCAGCGGGGCGGCTTCGGTGGTGGTCAGCGCCAGCAGCAGCGCACTCGTGAGACCCCGCCCCCCCAGCAGCTTCGTGAGTGGTACGCTGCGCGTCAGCGGGGTGGGGGTGCTGGTCCCTGTGCCTACGTCCTGCATACCGGCGACCGCACTGGTGAGCCGTGCGGTGGCTCGCACACCACCCAGCGCTGCTTCGGTCGCCAGACGGACGCCTGGCATCTTCAGTTCCCTGACGCCACTGAGATCCCTCGCTGGGGCAAGCTGCTTAGGTCGGAGGTTGCTATCTTTGATCTTGATTATGATGCTATTCTTGCTGCCATGTATGTTGTGTCTACTAGTGATGAGGGTGACTGTTACCTGTGTGTTCCGCCTAACCCGGGCATTGAGGCTCCTGCTCTAGGTGCTGGTGAGGCTGCTGCTCTAGGTGCTAGTGCGTCTGCTGCTCCTGGTGCTGGTGAGCCTGCTGCCCCAGGTGCTGGTGAGTGTGCTCTCTCAGGTACCACGTCGGCTCAGGCTTTGCACACTTTCACCCTTGACTAGGGTGCTTTCCGCTCCTTCTTTCGAGACCGCACCACACTCACGCCGCTTAGTCGGCCAGTTGCGGTCTCCCTGGCGGACCCCTCTGGGGGTCCTGTCCTTGCCCACTTCTCCACTGTCTTACCGTGTCCGGCGGCCCCCTCTGGCACCCTGTCAGGTCTTTACCTCCCCTCGTTCTCTACGAACCTGGTGAGTGGTGCTGACCTACAGGATGGGGGGGTTGACCATTTCACTCCTTGGAGTCAGCGAGTGACCTACTGTACGTGTGCTCGGACGGGCTGACACTTGGCCACGTTTACCCGTCAGCCGGGGTTGAGCCTGTACACACTAAGTACTGAGTCTCCTCCAGCTGCTAAGCCTGGTCAGATAGCTACGTCGGGTCAGGTGTTTGCTGCAGCGTCCAGGTCTGGTCCTGAGTCTGCCCCCTGCTCGTGTCGTATCCTGTCTCACCAGACTCTCCTCTGGCACCACCGCCTTGGTCACCCCTCCCTACCTCGTCTCCGAGGCATGGCCTCTCGTGTCCTTGTCTCTGGTGTCCCCCCGGTCCCTCCCTCCTCTTCCTCCGGGGCCTGCCCCTACCTGCGTTCCCTGCATCGAGGGGCGGCAGCGCGCCGCCCCTCACTCCTCCGAGTTTCCTCCGAAAGAGGCTCCGCTGCAGACACTTCACCTGGACGTGTGGGGCCCCGCCCGCGTCCGTGGACAGGGTCACGAGCGTTACTTCCTGCTGGTGGTTGACGACTACTCGCGTTACACCACAGTCTTCCCCTTGCGCAGGAAGGGTGAGGTCACTGAGGTGTTGATCGACTGGATCCGCGCAGCTCGTCTCCAGCTCGGAGAGAGTTTCGGCTCGGACTTTCCTGTTCTGCGTCTGCACTCCGACAGAGGCGGAGAGTTTTCCTCTGACCTTCTGCGAGCCTTCTGTCGTGCACGGGGCATCCGCCAGACGTTCATGCTTCCAGCCTCTCCGCAGCAAAATGGGATTGCGGAGAGCCGCATTCACATGGTCATGGACGTCGCTCGTACGTCCATGATCCATGCGGCTGCTCCCCATTTTCTGTGGCCGTTCGCGGTTCAGTACGCGGCGCATCAAATCAACCTTCAGCCCCGGGTCTCCTTGCCAGAGACCTCCCCTACTCTGTGGTGGACGGGGAAGGTTGGCGATGCGTCTGCGTTCCGTGTCTGGGGATCTCGAGCTTTTGTCCGCGACTTGTCTGCGGACAAGCTGTCCCCCCGTGCTGTTCCCTGCGTCTTCCTTGGCTTCCCCCCTGACGCGCCTGGTTGGCAGTTTTACCACCCTACCTCGGGCCGTGTTCTGTCCTCCCAGGACGTCACGTTTGACGAGTCGGTTCCTTACTACCGTCTCTTCCCTTACCGCACTGCACCCCTCCCCCCGCCGCCGCTCTTCCTCGCACCAGGTCCCCCCCCGGTAGACCCCCTTCCCCCTCAGGGTCCTGGCCCCTCAGGTGTGTCCCAGGTAGACGCAGTTGAGCCTGTTGAGGTAGCTGTTGACTCTGGTGCTGCTAGGGGTGCTGAGCCTGCGGGTGCGGGGCCTGGGGGTGCTGAGCCTTGGGGTGCTGCGTCTGGGGGTGCGGAGCCCGAGGGTGCTGGGCCTGCTCGTGTGGAGTCTGGCGGTGTGGGGTCTGGAGATCCTTCGGGTGGTGCGTCCCGGCGGGAGCTCCCCTCTCCACAGGAGCTGCGTGAGTGGTTTGCTCGGCGCTGGAGCAGTGCTGCTGAAGCTGGAGGTGCTGCTGGAGCTGGAGGTTCTACTGCTGCTGAGGGTGCTGGCGCCACGCGTCCCGGAGGTGCTCGTCTTGGAGGTACTGAAGCTGCTGGGCCTGGGGGTGCTCCTGGTGCTGGAGCTAT